GGGAAACGAACAAACGAACGGTAAACGTAAAACGCAAAACCTTCTTGCGACTAAATAAGGGTATCAGGTCGTTTAATTTATTCTCCAGTACTTTGGATCTGAATAACTAAAATCGATTTTTTTGTCAGCAAATGCGATAGTTTGCAATGTTTTGTCGCGCTGGGCCCAGGTCGTAGGTGTTTTTTTTTCTCAGATAGTGATTTACAGATTCAAATATTCGAAGAATGGAATTCGAAGAATGACTGGCAACTATGGAGAACCGTATTCAGACTCAGTCAAGATTGCTGATTGCAATGATCGTTCGGATTCATTGAGAGTTCCAACATTAACGCGTTCCAAAAATACATGAAAAATTATTTTGGTTTCACACGTCCTCTTTTCCCGCTCCCGAAGGTCAATTATTTTTGGTCAACTATGACAGCCGTTGACAGCATCAAATGTAGGTGCGCGCACCAGGCATGGCAGGCAAGTGGACGGGTTTTCAAAATCCCGGGGTTTGTCTCGCAAGCGCTCTTCCTTTCTTCCTCACCTCCGCTCTTTACTGTGCGCCATTTTTCGCGTGGTCTTGACACTTTCGTTCCTCGTTCTTGGTTTAAACTGTACAAACGCTTGCTACGCACGCTAAATGAACGAACACGTACGAAATTTCCTCCAAACGTAAAGTCACGTTGTAGTCAGCAAAACCACGGCAAAGAAATGTACAATAAAGTGCTGGAACATGCAAAGTTGCTTTTATGCTAATTAACCTATTGTTATTTTTCACCGTTCTCCGGCGTTTCTTCACCGCTTAGCATTACGCGATTTTTATATTTTGTTTGAACAAACTATAACTATTATCGAAAGCTTGCTTAACCCTGATAAATCTATTTAGTATATACTAAAACAGTGGATAGAGTTTTTCGGGGCTCTGATTGGCTACCACTCAGTGAATATCCTGCACTTGTTGTGCCCAATTATCCACTGTTTTAGTATATATTTAAAAGAATTATTCACCCCAGTGTCGGTGGTTAGTGGTGGATAATTTATTGCCGCTTCGCGTCTCGGTAAATATCCAACTGTCGCCCACTTCGGTGAATAATTTTATATATCACACCAAGAGGGGAGCAGTGTATAAATTATTTGATGGAGACGAGGTGATATCTCATTTTTAACAACAATTTATCGTACATTTAGGTTTAAATATTGGAAAAACTTATTCAGGCAGCAAAGTTTTAAAACTATAAATATAGAAAGTGCGAAGTGCAAACAGAGGGACTTACAGCTGATTATCGCACATGTTAAACCACGTCCCTTTGTCGGCCCTATCCATTTTCCGCGTTCTCGTCAAGGTTTGTTTGCATAAAACTCCTGAACAGCTGTCTCAGTTGCATGTATGAAAAGCAGTTGCATATTAGAAACTCTCCAAACTGAGTAAGCTTTTATCAGTTAGGGAAGTAATAACTCATTGAAAAGTTGTTACAAATCAACGTTCTCAATTTTGTGAGCACTTACAGTTCAGGGTCATATTTACCATCTATATTGCCTATCATCTAGCTACACAAGCTCATTTTTCTGTCTTTCACATCTTCCTCCTTTTTTTTTTTTTGGCTTTTTTTTTATTCTGTTAGCTTCAGATCTATTTTGTTTTATTCAGTGGGATGTGTTTTTTGTTCTTTCCATTCAAGGCAGCATCTGGTCTCTAATCTGCTTGATAACACTTTCTGTAATATCTGTCAGTTGTTATAGGGTCTTATAGCACACATCACAGAGTAAGAGTTATATATTTCTTGTCACAGAAGAGATTAACACAGGTTACGCTGCATTGTCTTTAATAGTGTTGTGAAGTATTTTGAAAGTTATTTTAAGACGGATCTATCTTATCTTTTAAGTTTAGTTTTTGTTTTGTTTTTTTTTTTGTTTTAAGTCTTGTTTTTGTCCACGTACTGTTTTCCTGTTTTGATCTTTTTTTTTACTTGTACTTGAAATTATGCTTAGCTCGTGAATTTGCTAATTGCCATATTAGGGAATGTTATTCGCTTGGCATTGTCAGTTGTTTTACAGATGGTCGTTTGTGGTGTTAGAGCTGCTGGCCTTGGTTCTTTGGCACTTGTCAGTTGCGACTGTGCGAAGGTTAATCTATTCCCAACAATAGCAAACCTGTTGCAATGTTAGCGATAAGATATTCAATGCTGAAGGCCTCGCGGTCAGTTAACCCAAACATGTCCAGCTCTGGCTATAAAAACCGCTACTATACTTGAACTAGTAAGTAGAAGTTAGTAGGGAAGAGTAGAAAAGTAGAAAAGAGTTAGAAGAGTAGGAAGATTAAGATTGTTAGCAGAAGTCAAAGAAGAATAAAGGCCAAGATGTAAATCACTGGTACCTCATCGTGTAGCGATCGAGTTGCTCGAACACACCCCCACAATAGTTTCAATTTTGCCTTCAAACGTGGGTGGAACGATTCCTCCGCCCCCCCACAATCTTAGTCCAAGTGACCCAAATCCCAGTTCTCATTTTACCCTTTAGGACCCCCTTAAAATCATGACATACGGGAACGCCAGAGAACACATTTTTTTTCATATGTCTTGTCAGTTGTCCTGTCCCCAATATCCCTATCCTGTTAGAGGTCACGCGACGAGGATAAAAACTTCCCTTGTTGTTTGATGTTTTAGAGCTTCGAGGAATTTTACCACATGGAGAGGAAACATAGCAGTCAAGCAAAATTTTCCGTTATCGTCTGGTTTCTTTTCACGTTCAATTTTGTCGGGATTTTTGCGGAAACATGTGAAAAGATCGACGTCTGTTCGTGCAGAAAAAGCAACGGGAAAGTTATAAGTCTGAGAGACGTCGCTGGAGGTGCAAAGGACCTGCGTGAGTCAACTATAGTAACGTTTAAACCATTTAAAAATAAGCAAAAACTTAAAGCTATTGAAATGTACTGTCGATTCCAAAGTAGCTCCCTTTGAATGCTCAAGTTTTGTTCAAACTCCATGAAATAAGTGGGATGGGGTTACTTCAGTCTTGCGTTAACTTACTTTTCTGTCGCTCGAACAGAGAATCGTATAAACAGATGCCGCTTTTAAGCTTATATGGTAATTGAAGAAAAATTTTGAACCATTTCGATTGGGAAGAAAGACAAGTTCAGTTTTTCTTTATTATGCTCCGTCCTAGATTACTTTTTCCTGCGTGTTTGTGTTAAATTTTCATGTACTGATTTACTGATACGTGATATGGTGGCATCGACTGGTGACCCCGTTATTGACCCCTTTTGTGACTGAAAGTTTGGCTTCCTCAGGTAGTGTGCAGGTCCTGTGTGCACCAGACGTAGTTAATCGATAAAACGATAAACGATATTAATCGATAGTAATCGATGTCGATCATCGATGAATATCGATTTCCTATATCGATCGATAGAAATCGATAAAGAAAAGTTGTGACTTCGATTAATGTCGATGATTTTCCGATAGAAATCGATGATGACTTATTTATCGATAGTTACAGATTACTATCGATTCATATCAATCTTAATCGATTTTGTTAATCGATAATAATCGATAAATTATTTTTTCTGTGACGGCGATTTCTATCTTTTTCCGATATCAAACGATATTAATCGGCGGATTAAATCGATTAATATCCATAATATCGCTTGATTTCAGATATCGATTTTTATCGATTAATTGCCTCTGGATTGTTAGGGTGCTTTTTAATTGGTATATAATTAACAAACCAAGCGCCTTCTTTGCTGTGTACAGCTGACCTAGCCAAGTAGCCGACTGACTATGCGGGTATAAATCAGTTTGTTTTAAGTGAGTGTGAGGTCTAAAGTGTTTATCGGTGTGAATTAATCTTTCAATTGCTTACCTGCTAAACTTCTCGCTAGATTGGCACAATATTTGGCCTTTAAAAACGTCCAGTCTAATAACCCATGCGTATCGAAATCAAAAAAGCGTGTCGTTGACGTAACGTTCGATCCTGAACGCGGAAATTTCCCGGTGACACGCGGAATAGAAACCTTTGTTTTTATTAACTGTTGACCGTCCAATCAGATATCGGACGTGATTTCTGCAAAAATAAAGAAGTGGGTAATCTCAACCTTGTTAACAGAAATGTCAGATTTTCCTCCGCAGAATTCCCTACCCTTTCATTTAATAGCCTGCGAACGGCAGACGTTTCTCCTCGCTCATCGCCGCTGAAGGACGTTTCTTGAGGAGGAACGTCTGCGACTGAGCGACAGAAATTCCATACTGATGACGCAAAATCTGCCCGGAATCCGCTCAGAAGCGCTAATTGGTGGACGGATTGTTGTTTTAGCTACCGGATTTATTATGTAAGCTGATTGATTTACGTCATCAGTATGGAATTTCTGTCGCGGAGTCGCAGACGAACGTCCTTCAGCGGCGATGAGCGAGAAGAAACGTCTGTCGTTCGCAGGCTATTCATTTAAATGAAGCCTGAAAAGGTCCTCTTTCGGGATGAGCCCCCGCATAGGCCGTTATAGGAAGTACGTCCGTCCTGGGGGCAGCATGTAATACAAAGGTTTAATTATATAAAATGGGAACTGCTACAGAATATTTGGTTGAATTGAGCTTGGTATGTGGATTTGAAAGAGAAGGAAAACGCTTTCGTTTCCCCTAAAGAAATTAACCAATACAGTATCCTGAAACATACTGAATTTACAACTTGTTTTATGGGTGCTTCTTTTATATGGACCGCTTAAGATGGAGTTTATACTCCCAGATTTTTGCTGATTCTGTTTTTCTTTTTTTTATGTTTAAGCATTAAAGGAATTAAAACTATCTATCCGCCTGGTACAATATATGAGTTCGACTGGAATCCTTGCACGACGTTTACTGAAGGAAGTAGCTGCACAGACATGTTGGTAAGTGTGTGTTTCGCATTTCTGTAAATTAGCCTCTCAAGTTATTATTTCTTATAATTAAGATAGAGGGTCAAAGTGATAATTTTAGCTTCATGTAACAAGTTCTTAAAAGAGGGTCTCAATGGGGTTAGCTGATAGGCGTAAAACGGCCCAAAATTTAGTCGATAGCCGTAAAAATTGAAAAATTTTAACCGTTAGTCGTAAGTACGGTAAAAAGAGTTAACCGTAAAAAAATTTTGCTCCTTAGATTTGATAATTTGAGGAAGGTGCTAAACTCACCTAGAACGGTTGTGATTCTTATTTCGCGACTACTTTCAATCGGCTCTTTACGTTCCCTTTTCTGCTAGTTTTGCTTTTCACGAAGATTCTACTCAAATAAACTGTTATGTCTTGTCTGTCTTTTATTAGGAATGGTCCTTTTCATGGCTCACGAAAAATTTTAGTTGACTGGCAATAGCTTAACCTTTTGTTTCTATTTTAAACAAAGAGTTCATCTCATTTTAAGAGAATGAGAAAACTGCGGCAAAGATCTTCAAAGCCGCGTACTTCTCAGCTTGGCTGCGACACTTGTAAATGTGAGAGTCACAGAAATGTTCGAGTCTCAATCTGTATGCTTGTTCTTTTTTAGTTTTTTGTACAAGCCGTTCTTCAGTGGGGTAAAGACCCTAGTAAAAAAGAGAAGAGAGTATCAAATACTAAGCGACGCGAAGGACGAATCAGTAGCCCCTGAAGAAAAGGAAATCACGCCAAGATACAAAAGATGAAAAACTTTTTCATAGTTAACATTTCTATGCGTAAAATGATATTGGAAGTAAAATACTCTAAAAGCATGATTTATGAAATTTTTACAATTTTCAGAAGAATAACTTATTTCATCCCGAGATGATCCTAAGACATTTATTTTGCTTTAAAGATACAAAAAAATACAGGTTTATTATAAATATTTAACTCTTTGAAACAAAGAAATTAATTTTTAACTTTATAGTTAACCGTAACTGAAAAAATATTAACCGATAGCCGTAAGAGAGCCAACATTTTAGCCGATAACCGTAAATGCCACCACCCTATTGAGACCCTCTTAAAAAAATTCAGTGATGAAATCAAATTTAAGATGAATAGAGATTGAGTCTGAACACAGCAAAATCAGCAAAATTTGTCTGTAGGATCTAGACAGAGTTCTTCTCGTATGTCTTGACCATCACTGGAGACGCCAATGTACCTAAAGTAACATCTACCAAAACCCTGGGTGTACATTCGATCAGGCGCTTACATGGGCAACACATATAGAAGAGACATTTAAAAAATTAATCAGCGCAGTTGGAGCTCTTACACTTGTGAGACAGTTTGTTCACCTGTCGACCCTCCAGACAATGGACAACCGTCTTTTATCCAGCCGTTATTGCAACGTTGTTTGGGAGGGTCTGGACTCAGAACTATAATCATAGACAAAAGTCTTGGGACACTTTTGCATTTCTTGGGCGTTTTCCAATTCACACAGGCCCAACCACTCCTCTCATCCCACAAAACAACGTTGGACGAGTGTATCCAGATTTCTTTGCGAGTTTCAACTTTAAAGTTCTTTATATGCAAAAATTGCGCTGCAATTACAACATAAATATATGTAATCCCTCTAATTTCAAGAAATTTTTTTGCGCGCTCCCCACTATTACGGACACTAAACCGCGGTCCCGAGGGTGTCCGCAATAACGGGAGCTGCTGACTATATGACGAAAAAAAGCGATTGGGTTTTATAGTGGTGCATTTATTTGCAATCAATTAGCCGAGGATCTGCGTAAATGCCGAAGTCGAAGAATTCAATTAAATCTAATTTGGACGGCTTGTTTCCCAGCTTCTTTGATTCTTTATTATGATATTTAGTTTAAGGAGGATTTCTTATCACAAATTGTTTACTTATAACTTTTCACTTCACTTATAGACGCTCATAACTCTGAGGATTTAAGACGTCAGCTCACGGTCTAGAGTGTGTGGACCCGCAATAACTCGAGTTGACTGGAAAACTATCACCTAACAACTTCCTTCATTTTCCCACTTAGATTTGTCAGACGCTTCCGAATGCACAGGAAACCCATCCATGCGCTAACTCTGTTGCTAGTTTTGAATCAGACACCGATGGAAATACCGTCATAAATTATGAGCCAACCATTGAGAAGGCCACTTCCTACAAAAGGTAATTTAGCACCAAGTTTGAAGTTAGCAAGTTTAAAGTAATTTCGGGCCATCATGGCTGCAACGTTGTTTTATTAAACCTGTGCTAAAACTACTACACAGGCTACCTGTTGCGGTTCAGGATCCAAAATAAAATCCTACTGGATGCTGATGACTTTTAAATGTCTAAATGACACTGTTGCTGCTTATCTTAAAGATTTAATTCACTCTCATACACCAAACCGCAGTCTGCGATCAACCTCAAAACACTACTTAGCACATGAGCAATCCCACCCGAAAAGTTATGGTCTCAGAGTATTTTCAGTTGCAGCACCCATTTTGTGGAATTCTCTCCCACGTAGGCTTAGAGACCATTCAAAATTTTCTATAACCTCTTTTGAGAAAAAACTTAAAACACATTTATTTAAAATAGTTTTTTTTTAACATGTAAATTTTCTATTGCTGATTTACTTATACATTTATTTTTTTAACTAGTAATAGTTGACACTACAGCTGCCCCCGTTTTGTATGTTGTCGGTCAATAGTATTCTTGCTGGTTGTGTAGCTCTTTGAAATATACCGATTCATAATGAAGATTTCCACACATATTCCATACAATAGGTGAGATAAATACATGAAACGCAAGGTTCCATGCACAGTTTCAGCTCGATTTACACAGCTTTGATCAAAACATTCTCAGTTTCGAGAATAGTTTATTCGAAACCATAAGAAAAGATTTAATTAGAAGTTGAATTTTTCGCTATTTCTCTTTCCCTTTTACATTCAGTTCATATTATTTGCTGGAAAGTAAGCCTTAGAAATTAAAAGACGTTCGATCGATTTATGCTAGCGCATTCTAGTCTTATTTGAAACTTTATAACGGAAGGACATCTGTGAGCAGGGAATAAGTCAACACAGAATTTGATTGTCGGCGAATTTCTGTAAATGTCAATCAATCTGCTAGTGATAGCCGTTGTTCACTCGTCTTGCTTGTTTGGGGCTGAGTCTTATTCCGGTCAAAGAGAGAGAAAGAGTGTCTGGCAAGGTTTCCAATATAAATCAAAGATTTGTGAACTCGTTTCTGGCAAACTCTCCAATTGTTTATATATCTACACTGTTAAACGCACCTTATAACCTCCCCTGCGCTTAACGAGTGTCTTTTGGTCCATAACTTTCAAAGCAACTGCTCCACAGAATGTCACTGCGTAACGCAAAATAGTATCGAAGTATGACTGCACAATAAATAGAGAGTTTTAGATCCGAGTTTACCGCGAACCGCTAACCGCTGGAGGTCACGTGACAAGTCTTTCGCTTCACGTTTGAGGTTTACGTCGTGCGTTTTCAACGTGGGGAGATAGGGTTTCACGTATGTCATTTACCTGAACACTTTTAGCGTATAATTCTTGTTTCATCCCACGTAATGATACAAAAATTTTGAGAAGCAAGTCTTTATCCATTCACAGAGGCACAAATTCGGGCGAAATGCAAAATTTTATAAATCCTATTGGATCTTGAAAACAAGTGCCATTTATGGCTGCTGATTCAAAATGGCGGCCTTAATTTAATCCACCGCCAATCTAAATCGAATTTTGTTTGACCGTCGAACCGCAGACGGGTAACCGCAAACCGCGGTTAGAGGTTTGCGGTAAACTCGGATCTAAAACTCTCTAATGTCACAAAATCAACCTGAGCGGTCCCTTCGGGATTTTCTGTCGTTACGTCATCCTAACCATTTCATACTTGCGGGCGCAAGCAATAGAAACGTCATCATTACCTACCGATTCCTCGCGGCCCCAGTTCGAGCAAATCGAGATTTTTTCTAGTATACTGACTGTATATTTGAACTGTAAGTACTGTCCTTAATATACGCGCAAGTTACTAGGGGTGCCTCCTCGGGATTTCCCCTCTGGGCGAAATCCCTGGGGGCAATAATTCTACATAACTATAATTTTATTGTAAAGCGCTAATGAACTTTACAGAGTAGCGCTATATAAGTGTTACTTAGGGACGGACCATTAGAAAAGTGATGGGGGGGGGTGGGGAATTTTCAGCTTGCACGAATTTTTTTTTTTTCGCTCACTGCTTGTGCAGGAATTTTTTTTTCAGGTGAACCCCTCTGAACGAATTTTTTTTTTCAGACAAAAATTGCTTTTTTTGAACAGTTAAATCTTGATTCATTATCTATGTTTTTGTGCTTTATAAATTATTCTACACTCACAAAAGATCAAAGGATACAGGCCACTTTAATGCAAAATCTTTTCGAAAATGTACACACAGTGAGAGAGGAGGAAGCCACTTGGAGTGGACGGCTTCACTGTGCATTTTTTCAGTCCCTGCCCTCTGGAATTCCTCTCCCACAGCCAATGGTAAATAAATAGTGACAGGCCATTCACAGATCCCGCAAGCGTGTCGCATGAATGTAATTACTTATCTACACGTAGCGGTTAAAGAGATTAACTACAGTTTGGCTCTAACCAGTATATCGAAGGCGTAGTTTGAATATTCTTATGTTTTCTACGAAAGTCTCTTCTGAAGAGTTAGTATGGTAAATAAGTAGTGACAGGCCATTCACAGATCCCACAAGCGTGTGAATGGCCTGTCACTATTTATTTACCATGTCACCCACCCGGAGTCAAAAAAGGCTTCGTAAAAGGTGAAGGCCTGAGACTACTAAGAACTAACTCTTCAGAGGAGACTCTCGTAGAAAATATAAGAATATTCAAACTACGCCTTCGAACGAGAGGCTACCCGAACAACCTTATAGACAAAACACTCTCGGAAGTAAAATTCTCTCACAGAAAGAAAGCTCTTAAGGATAATACAAGAGTGCAAAAAGAAATATTGCCCTTTGTAACGCAATACAACCCATTTGTGCCTACCTTAAACACATAATTTTTAATGGAGAAATGGCATCTTATAGAATCACAACCTAAACTTAAAGAAATGTTTAAAGAACCTCCAATTATTTCTTATAAGAGAGGCATTTCATTAAGAGATATACTGGTTAGAGCCAAACTGTAGTTAATCTCTTTAACACTACGTGTAGATAAGTAATTACATTCATGCACCACGCTTGCGACATCTGTGAATGGCCTGTCACTATTTATTTACCAGATTCTAATATTTATTTATTACAAATTTTATTTTATTATTTTCATTATAATACGGTATACAGTGTATGTTGTAGGTACACTAGCTGCAATTTAAAACAAAAACAAGGTTCTAATTGTCTCCTTTCAGTAAGAAGAAAGTGATTTTTGTTTATTCATATTGTGCCTGGTAAGATTGTTGATTTCTGAAACTCAGACTTTCTGAAAAAGTCACAATTGGACCTTCCTTCTGCATGAATTTTTTTCTTTACCTTCTTCTTTGCATGAATTTTTTTTGTTGGCATTTTCCCTTGCATGAATTCTTTTTGTTCCCCCCCACCTCATCACTTTTCTAATGGTCCGTCCCTTATTATTAGAATCAGGATAAAGTTACCTCGCGCGCTGCGTGGATGTTTCGTGGAGGTTTCGCATGACTAAACGCCGTGCAAAACATGTCGGGCGAAAGGCAATGAAAGCGTAAAGAGATCGAGAGCATTTATGAATATTAAAACAAAATGAGTCGGCGCTCACCTGGGGAAAAGGGTATCGCTGGACTCTTTGACAGCCTGTGAAATCAGTTTAACTCGAAGTTGTCGTAACCTCAGTGCTTTAATAAAATGAGAAATTTCGCCGGTCTATTGAAACCGGTCGTTTGTACAATAAAGCAAGTTGGACGCCAAGTGTTATTTTTGTTGAATAATAAAAGCCTAATAAAATTAAAAATAAATATCAAACCAGAAATTGCTCTCTTCAAATTGTAAATTATAAATGATCCTGAGAGATTAATTCAGCGTGTTAAGGATTTCCCAGCTGTACTGTAAGCTCTATACAAGAGAGGAAGGGCGATTCTTTTTAATTTCCATTTCGCAGACACCGCTTTAGCAGAAATCTCTCTTTAGTCGTTTTCTTCGACAAAACGAATAGAAATATATCGCTCTCCGAGTCTTCCGCCATTTTTTCTGCGTCAATTCGTGAAGAACGCGTAGCTCTGAGCGTGGGTCATCCACGCGGAACACATTCGCGCTATGTGATTGGCTGTTGCCTCATCCCCTTGGGATCTGTGTGTCTTAAAAATAACTCGAGGCAAATTACCTATGGAATAGGGTGTGTATGGGGGATGCCTTCTCTGTCCCCTTTATCCTCTCTTGTTATGTATAACATAATTATCACCAATTATGCTGCTCAATTTTGCCGGAGAGTAGATTCTTGCTGTGCAATTCATGATGAAATCTTGGTATAAATTAATTCATAAACAAAATAAAAAGGATGTGCATGTTAATACTGTGGAACACGTCATCACACAAATACCAAGATGTTCATATGAATATCGGCGTGAATTTGTAATGAAACTGTAGTGTTTGATTTGACTTGCTGAGTTTCGTTTCAACCGAAACACTGACTTGACGTGAAGATTAGAGTAGACAATTTACCCAGTGATGTTTAAAATTATTTATTTTATTTCAGGACCTTCAAAATTACTCTAAAATGTGATCCTAGCAAGTTTCCAGGCTACACAGATGGTGTTACAGAAGATTACACATACAAAGATTCAAAATATGTATGAATGATAGTTAGCTTTATTTTAAAAAATAAAAAACCATTTACTTTGAGGCGGTCATATTTGAACCAGCTCTGTGGAGTATAGTGGCTATGAAAAGCTGGCTACATATTAAACATATAGTATCATGTTAAAGTGCTGCTGAAGAGGAGAATGCTAACACCATAGTATTTTAAGGCAACTCAAAACAAAGAAAATTGTCAACTACGTATGCGCAATGTATGCAGTATCCTGGAAACCGTACAACAACCTGTGAAACGGTTTGTTTGAACAGCGGTTGACCTACCAAAAACATATACTGCGCATGCCCACGTGAATGTCAAATCAACGTACCTTGAATTCACTGTGTCCCATTTTTGTTTACTAATTTTCCTTTCTCCTCAGAAACACGTGATAGTCAGGCTAAGTTCGTGGAAAAGCCGGGTGTTTGGAGTTTTTCATAGGCTGTTCAGTTACTTGTAGAAAGACAAAATAGTTATTTGTATGCGACAAAATTCACCCGAGACAATATATGCTGTAATTAAAACACCATTTCACTTTTTTTCTGAATTTGGCAGTTGACTGCAGAATTCACTCCCCTGGTCTTTTCAAAACCATTTTAAAATTGTACTGTCTAGACAGCCCGCATTTCTTCTAACATAATTTATCACACACGATCGAATCAGCACATGTTTATCTTAGCTTTAGTATTTTCTTTCGCAAATGTATGTGGGATATAATACAGTAAAGCATTTCACAGTTATAAACTTAACTGACTTTTGTTTTCAATTACAGAGTATGGTGTTTTCTACAAAATGCGCGTGTGATGACGCTTGTGCCTCTAATAACGATAATCCTGCTCAAAACAGCAATGGACTCAGTACTGGAAGTATTATATTAATAGTGTAAGTAACCGATAATGCTCATCCTTTCAAAAGTGATTGCCGCAACTAAGTAATGAAGAAAGATGTGCTATAATGACGTGATTTTGCTTTGTAATGCATGGTCTCGTATTCAGGCAGAGATAAATCTGCTCATGGAGAGTAGCTTTCTATAAAAAATGTTAATGCGACCTGTATTCCCATCAATAAAATTCAAAAATTTGTTGCCAGTCAAGGATAGCGAGATATCATACTTACATTTACGTTAAACTGCTAATTTTACTTCGCATTAGGTGGGTATGAGTGTCAATTTCATCATTCCAAAGCTGCAGGACATATTGTTCGGACCCAGGCTATGGATAATATTTGCATAAAAACAGATTTCAACGGATTCGGTGGGGTTTTTTGAACGAACCAATTAAATATCGTCCAACATGTTAGCAGCATGGGAAACCCCACTTAGCTTATTGTTCATGCAAAGTGGAAATCTAGTGGAACGTCAGTGAAAAGCCCAAGCCTCTTTCATAGTATTCAAGAGGTGTTATGACGCTTTCAGAACGGCGGAGTTTTTCTAACGACATGATAACAGATGAATGATCGACCCAAACAATGCTATTAGCCCTTAAATCAACAACATTAAGGTGTGTTGTCAAGGACAATGAAGAAAACTCCTTCCTGTATATCTTCTGTAGTTGTGCAAATTTTCCTGGTATTATCATCATCATAATTATCATTATCGTCGTCATCATCATCATCATCATTAATTAAGATAATAAGGCATACACTTATCCAGTTTATTATTGGTTGAGCTGTTCAAGTTTTCACGTAACGAATCCCAGCTAAGAACAGACAAAATGTTTCGTGGTGCTGGTTAAAACACGTTTGAACAGACTGAGACTTGATACTACACCGTCAACCCTAGTCTCCTTCGCAGCCGTTATTTAGGGTCGTCACGCAACGCTCCTCCCCATTAACGCCGTTGGTGGGGAGGAGCGTTGCGTGACGACCCTTATAACGGCTCCAAAGGAGACTACGTCAAACCAAGTTTTCAACGTATTCCTCCCTTAAGGAGGTATATTTTGGGGCCCGTTCCATTTGTAACATAAAATTTGTTTATTAACTGTATCAGTCTTACATATACATTTTTTTCCAGATTCTTTGTGTTACTCTTTGTTTATTTGGTGGCTGGAATTCTCATTAAATGGTACAAAATGGAAGTTGAGACCGTACCAGAGGTGATACCTAATTACGAGTTCTAGGCTGGAATTCCATCACTTGTTAAGGTGAGACGTGCCATATCGTGATGTCTTTTGTAGAGCCACGGTAAACAATCCAACATTAAAGAAATTTGGAATCGCGTTTACGGCAGGCGACAAACGTTAGACTCAAACCGACATTTTTTAAAAATTAAAATTAGGTAATGAGAGGATAGAAACGGTCTCAAACAATTCTTATATATGAAAGCTACTGTAAGTGACATGCAACAGTTTTTTTAGTGCAGAAGTAGACTGTGAAAACAGCCGACATTTCGCAACTCCACTTCTGGTTTCCCCGCGAAATGACGTCTGCGAAACGAGCGCATACTGAGGACGCGTCACCACCCAGATCTGGGTACGTATAGTGCCTCTGATTGGTAGTGCAAGTGGAGAATTCGCTTCAGCCAATCAGAGGAACTACTCAGATCTGGGTAGTGACGCGTCATCAGTATGGAATTTTTGCACTCGTCTCCCGGCACTGGTTTCTCCTAACGAAATGTCTGCTATTTACTCAGGCTACGGTAGAAATAATGACGGTAAACGATCAGTGAAGAGAAAAAAACTTGGTCAAGAGTAGCCTCCCCGCAGACGTCCTTTGGGGTTCGTTTGTCACGCATTCATTTCTCCCCCACGGACGTCTGCTAAACAGAGCCGACTTTTGCGTTCTGGATTGTTTGAATAAGCCAATAAGCGGTTAGTTGTTGTGTCACGATCAGCCAATCACGCGCCGTGATATAAGTGATGTCTCTGGTATTCTCAAGTGAATTATTTATTTTCACGGCTATCTTCTACATGAGACGACTCAAACGTTTTGAAGAAATCACAGAAACGATGCAATAAAGCTGCAGTCAGCTGTATATTTTTTTCGGAAGTTGTGACTATAAAATAATCTGCTTTTCTTTGAAAGACTTCAGATAACAGTCTGCCACACGAGCGCGGAGCGGTTTTCAGCGCGGTCGAAAACAATAATTACTATTAACTCTGTATATATTCGAAGTATTAAGAAAAGAGAACTTGTAAACGTGTATAGGGAAGATATTCAAAGCATTCTTCGAAAACAAAGGCCGTTTCCTTTTTTGCGAAATGTAATTCCACCAAGGTCATGGGTCGCGAACCAAGGACTAGCCTCCCCGCAGACGTCCTTTGGGGTTCGTTTGTCACGCATTCATTTCTCCCCCACGGACGTCTGCTAAACACAGCCGACATTTACGTTCTGGATTGTTTGAATAAGCCAATAAGCGGTTAGTTATTGTGTCACGATCAGCCAATCACGCGCTGTGATATAAGTGAAACGGCACCCTACGAATTATTTCTCGCTTTTTTAGAGGAATATTTATTCCATGCCTATGCATGGATGAGACTCCAAAGAAAGTTATAAGAAGTAAATTTTTTTGTTTTCTTTGCAGCTGTAATTTAGGAAAGGACCAAGTTCGTGTGTTTAGAAAAAGCGCAGTCGACATCGCAAGGCTCATCAAACGTGCTCTGGACGTTGATGTGTCTTTGTATTCTCAAGTGAATTATTTATTTGACTCAAACGTTTTGAAAAAATCACAGAAACGATACAATAAAGCTGCAGTCAGATGTATAGTTTTTTCGGAAGTTGTGACTATAAAATAATCTGCTTTTCTTTGAAAGACTTCAGAAAACAGTCTCCCACACGAGCGCGGAGCGGTTTTCAGCGCGGTCGAAAACAATAATTACTATTAACTCTGTATATATTCGAAGTATTAAGAAAAGAGAACTTGTAAACGTGTATAGGGAAGATATTCAAAGCATTCTTCGAAAACAAAGGCCGTTTCATTTTATGCGAAATGTAATTCCACCAAGGTCATGGGTCGCGGACCAAGGACCAGTACGCGAAATTTGGTTATATTTTTTCAAGAGTCGGTAAAACAAAAAATTCGAAGTCTACAGCAATGTGCTTCCAACGGCAAAAAAAGGTTTATCTGAAAACTTGATCTGCAGAAAGGCACGTCTTCCCGTTGCGGTTATTTATTCACAAGCTAAGTAAACAGGACCACGGTGCCGCCGAAGTCCAAACTTCAAGCTAGAACGACAAATTAACCTACCTGTCAACAAAGTTTAATCTCGCTCCTTCAAAGAAAGAAGAAATGCTTATAATCAATAAATCATTGAACCTTTCATTGTTCATTGTATTTTATTTCTCAACGAAATATTTGATCATGCTCGGGACAGTCGCCGACCAAGGACCACATACTAACTGTACAAGTCACTCGCTAACATTTCCTCCACCGATCAATCTTCAACCAAGCTTCTGGGCTTCCGTAAACAACAAAGTCCCTCTCTCGACAACCCTCATATTCTCTTTGCTAATATCACTGAGCGTTACAGCAGGAATACCAATATTTTCCAGCTTTGTACATTGATCTTTCAAGATTTACCAGGGGAGAAACAACAACAACAATAATGTCCAGTAGTTCCACGCACTGTGTCACAAACAAGCAGCAAAGCTTGATAGATAAGGGATTTGCCAAATCCCGTCGGCAAATTTATGAACACAATTCGGTCTTTGTTATAAAATTTGCAGGATAGCTTCTCTCTGATACTTGTTTAACTCTGTATTAATTACAAATTTCTCGCAGACTCGATCAAAAACCTCACTGATCGTGCGAATCTTAAAGAAGCAGCTCGGGTTACGTTTTACAAAAATCCGTAAACGGCCTGTGATTGGTGAACGTAAATGTCGGCTGTGTTTAGCAGACGTCCGTGGGGGAGAAATGAATGCGTGACAAACGAACCCCAAAGGACGTCTGCGGGGAGGCTAGATCAAGAGGTACAAACTGCCATTTGCCTTTTGCCGCATAAATGGATTCTAAATCTCTGCAATGTCGCACAGTAGAATGCTTAACTAATTAGAGAACTACTTATCAAGACCTACAAGTAGAATGCGAGCACAGCCGCTTCTCATCGCTCCCCTTCGTCGCTAAAGACATTGCACGTGCCCACCCTCCAGGGACCATGATAATGAGAGGCGGTTCTACTCGCAGGCTTAGTCAAAACGGAGTATACACATTAAATCCACTATTTTAAGCTCTAAGGTGTTATGTGTATGAATAAACTACTTACTAACCGAATTTACAAATGAAGTTGACCATGAAGTTGATGCTGGATACTGAAGTGTTAAAGAGAAGCTAAAACGTCTAACATGTCAGGAGCTTGAATTCCTAAATTACTTCGGATGTCAGATCTCAAGGATTCGCTTTCGAAGTACAGTCAACTCTCTCATAGCAACCACTTCTAGTAAGCGACCACTTTGTAAATAACCGTAAGGGTTTTGTTTCTCAGTCAAATACTGTTTTAAAAACTCTGTCGTAAGCGACCACTACTTAAATTTCTTAAACAGATCCCGCGACCACTTTTTAGGCCAGAAATTTGACATATTCCTTTGTTTTCTGTCTGCCGTGAGCGACTAACCGGCATGATCACGTATGATTGTAAGAAAACCACTGCTCGAATGTCACAAAAGTTCAGTATTTTTATGATTATGGCAGTTGACTTACCACAAAGATGGCTGTCATACGATCTGTGGGTAAAAAGTGGATTGTTACATTCATGCAAAATGTAATTAATGTCTCAACAGTTCCCAGCGCTATTCGATGCGAAACTGTAAGGTATATAATAGCTTTATATAATAACTTTACCGTGATCAGTTCAGTTTGAGCTTATTTTCTTGATTTTTCCCGAAGACGACCGGCCACCTCCCGTAAGCGACCACTTTCTCGTGCACCAAGGGTGGTAAGAGAGTTGACGGTATAATTTGCCTGGGTGGTCCATATATACCGTAAAGCCGGTATTTTGATTTGATATATGACGAAATAACGTTTTCCCTCGGCGAGCGAGGTCTGTACGACAAGTATTTTTTTTTATTTTAGTATTATTATTATTTCTTTTCTTTTCTTTGTTTGTTTTTTTGTTTTTGTTTTTGTTTTTTAATTTTGCTTCGTTTTTTTTAATCATCCAATCTCAAGCAGCATTTGTAAATTGCCTATACGTAGCGAGATTTACAATTGTACATTCAAAAACACAAATAAAGTTTCCACTATTATATTATTATCACCATTATCATTATCATTGTCATTGTCGTGATCATTATCATTATCTTTATCATTATCATTATTATTATAATTATTATTATTATTATCATTATTCATACGAGCGCTAACGTGGCTCTATTTCCAATAACATAAAATTTCTTGTCCTGATGCTCTCATGGAATCCTCTTTTAAACGAGAAAACAGCCCAATGAAAACACTGGAATTTCAGGGAAACAAAATTAACATAAGTTGTTTCTGACGTCATAGATTTTTCAGTGTTACCCTCTTAGAGATTGGTCATTGTTAGGTGTCTTGTGACGTCGAAGTACCCAAGGAGAGTGTGCCGACTGTTGAAAAAAAACCCTTAATATATAACACCATGATAAAACGTCTTATTGCGAGGGTATGTTATATCTGACTCCTGTTATCTTTTCACTTAATTACTAAGACAAAAACAAGCTATTCGTGATACGGGAGTTCGTAATATAGTGGTTTTTACGTCTATTTTTTTTTAACGTTATTGATCACAATAGTTTGTGATATGGATCTATTTACATAGGAAAAAAAAGATAAAGTAAGTAGTTCTACCGTCAACCTAGCGGAAGCTGATCGTGGCTGGTACAGGTATTACGTCAGATATGTATACATTACGCTCAGGTGGATAGAGAGAAATTTTGCACCTAAACGTCTTGTCAAGAAAAGAGTGATTTAAAAACTACTCTAATTTCTTATTCAATTTCCACAGGATGGAGTTTTGTTGACGTGCCAAGGATTGAAGTCTGGATGCACTTCTCTCTGCCAGAAATGTAGTAAAAATGGCTATGGCGAGATATAAACAATTAGAAGAAGTCCTTTAAAGTTAACCAACCTCGCAATCTAAAATTGCCCAGTATTGAGTTCGCTCTGACTGCAAAATAAAAGTACAGTAGACGCATTTTTTCAGGCAAGCACCTCTCTGCCGGCACGAGCGTGAGCATTCTTTTACTTTTGTTTACAAAGTTACTCCGCGCATAACCCAAGCACGTATTTTAAAAGCGACAAGCGGCGAAACCACGAAGGCGTAAGCCTGAGAAGAAAAAAATTGTCTCCTCCAAATCCCTTATTGTAACGTAACGTTATTACTTGCAATCGCGCTGGCTGGGATAACTGAAAACAGGATGGATTTTAAGATAAAAGGCGGACTGCGAATAATCCTGTATCCATGCAACCTTACCCCAAGGAGAGCTCTGGGAATGAGGATGGTAACCATGAGAAACTGGTGTTTACATTGAGCGGTAATTTTTAAAATGAAGAGAGAAAATGGGGTAATAAATGATAGATAACAAAACTGTTTTAGTTTCGTGAAGTCATAACCTGATAAAACCTGAATGCTGAGCAGGAATCAAGATCAAGAGATTTACAACATCGATATGTAAAGAACAAAATTGTAGCGGAAAAGAGTTTCATTTTGAAGGGAATGTCTAAAGGACCAGACTAACGACCTATTGGCACAATTAGGTACATACCAAAGGTTTGTTAGAGTACCCCTGGGGGAGGCAACAGGTACTTCCGGTATTTTATAGCATGGGCGATTGCATGACTTACTGCGGATGTGTTTTTAAAACACTTTTAATTTTTTTTTAACATTACTTCTTATGTAAATATCCTCGTGATTTCCGACATGAATAAATTTTTAAAAAATGCTGTCTCAAGTTTCTTCCTTTAGATGCTAATTATATGTGACTCTTAGCCACTGATTTACAAGGATTAGTTGAACTTTAACTATTGAGGGTTGAAAGGCCATGTTCACGCTCACGTACTTATTCTCTGGTGGGTGATTGAAGTTGTGTATAATGCTAGGAAAGCAAATCAATACAGTAAAAGTTCTCATTATTATCTGGATATTTTCTTCGGCGGAGTTCACGGGAATTTCCCAAGAGACCTGTGACAAGATCGATGACTGTTCATGCAAAAAAAGCAACGGGAAAATCATCAACTTACGAGAAATCGATGGAGGCTCGAAGGCAGCGTAAGTATTTTTATTCGCTCTTCACGCGGGTAGTGTGAGATGACATGAATCTGTGCACTTTCTGATGATTATCATATATCAGAGCGATCAAAATGTGTCAATAATTTTGCAATCGGCGTAGCAAGGGTCGAAACTGGTAGGGGATAAGCAGGGTATATTTCTCTCTCCTCTGACTTAAACAGGACTAACCACTCAAAGGCCTGTGGGACCCGTCCTTTAATTATTACTTCGAAAAAAAATATCTAGGTAATCAGCACATTAACAGCAAAAAGGTTCTCTCGAACCCCGGGGTCTCGAACCAACCTCGAAATATGAGCATCGGCATGGAGCTGCATGGCTGCGTAACCTCCGAAATAAAAGTTTGTATGGGGAGCGATTTATAGGAATTGTATGGGTTTTAGTGTAAACAGGTTTGCTCTCTCTATAATCCGTCCATACAGGGACGAAACCGGTTGAAAAAAAAACATAAAATGGCCATAAATCGGCTTGGGAACCGCAGGAAGAATCACGCAACTTTTAAAAGTGAGGTTAGCTGATTCTTATTTAAATTCTTTCACGTCCGTAGGTAAAAAGAACAACTGATTTTTTCCTCATACAAATTCTTATAGTCAAACGTCACGGTAAAATGCCGATGCTAATTCTTTTTTGGGTTAGGCTACCTCTTGTGTTTGCATAGGCCGGCGTGACAGAGCAACGTTTGAAGGTGAACGGACAGGGGGATAAAGGCGCGCTATAACGCATGGAAGGGAATCTTTCACCGTGTGGTCAAAGGCGAGAAATTTGCAAATGTACTTCGAAGCTAAATATAAGGGTATTTTTCTTTCACCATTTAAAGGTTTACAATGTCCCTTTTATTAAAAAAAAAAGGTTTTTTAGAAACCTCTTCTCCTCTTCTTTCTTCGTACTGACTCGTCCTTGAAATTCTTTTCTTCGCTCCGAAAAAAACTGACTGGCCCCTCCAACACATACCAGAAAAAAATAGTTTCCCTCAGAGCCGTTTTAGTGTCGTCAAGCAGCAATCTACAACTCAGATTTCCCATGTAAAGACAGAGTGAGATAAGTCACGCAACACCACTTCTCGCCACTTTAGAAAAGTAAGGCAACTGAGCCGAGTTAACTTTCGCAAAGACCTGGAAACAGGACAACGCTATTGGCCAATAGCTAAACTGTGCGTCCTCAGTAACGATCCCAGAAGTCTTTGCGAAATCTGATTCTCTCCAGTTTCCCTCTCGTTTTTAAAGTGGCAAATTGCACCAGCTTTTCCTTCTTACACACCCTTCCCCCCTCCCCCCCCTCCTCCCCCCCAACAGATCTTTTTCCCGATACCTGCCATCTTTAACGCGCTTTAGGATTGATGAGATAAAAGCAATGTCACGTTGTACTGTATTTGAGAGGTAAACAAGAAGTAAAATTTGCCAATAGGAGAAATCGCGGCCGAGATATTATCTTCTCTCAAAACTAGAGGACGATTTAAGTTCCGCAAAATGCACAGTTCTAGTTTCGAAAAGGTCTACGTCATTGTTGCTTGATGTGAGAACATCTACGGTCGCTACTGCGTCTCAAAACGTGAAAATGATCACTTCTACCCATAATTTGTCATTATCGTTTTTAAGATAACAAGTTCTTCATTTTCTGTTGTGTAGAATAAACAAACTCAACAGCGACTTTTTGTATTGGGATATTTTAGTACTTGTTAGCCCCCTGAGAAGCCACGTGACATCGCTTTTATCCCATCAGTCTTTAAGCGCGTGCAAAGATGGCAGGTGTCAAGAATAAGGGCCCCTGGAAAAGGCTACTATTTCTGGAATATCTAACTTTTAGGTTGCATCCCACAAGCGAGGGAGGCTGCAGAGCATTAATTGTTAATTAATGTATTGATTGTTACAGTTTCAACATGGCTTTTTCAAAACAGTCCCTGGGTCAATTAACTAGTACGTTAATTTTTTATAGTTTTAAAAACATTCCAACTGTTCGCAGTAAGCAATATACATTTGACTGGAATCCTTGTACGAGCTTCAGCGAAAACTCTGAATGTCTCAATATGCTGGTAAGTTATTAACATTTTCAATTTTAATTATAATGAAGTTCGGATATAACACGCACTCTGATTGGCTGAGAGTAGAGGTTATGTGAGTATAAAACACGGAGGTCAAGCTGTCACATCACCTGCCAATAGTCATATTTAAGTAGTTTGTTTTCAAATTTTCGTGTTAATAACGTCCAGGTTTTCATGGGCCACAATTCGGCCGGATTTAAGTGAACCTTTTTACCTTTAGAAACTGATTTTTGGGCGTAAAATTTCCTCTGCATTCGAATTCGGAGAGCGTTTAGCTCGTTTCACTTAGTGATAGCTGGAAAGTGGAAGCAAAAACAAACAGCGCCATGTTTCATAGCCAACGATATCAATTTGCTTTTAAATAAAAGCCCAAGTGTCAGAGGTTTCTTTTTAGTTTAATACCCTTAAAAACTCAAGCGGCAAAACGGTGAAAATGAGGCGTAACGCGTTTAGGGGAAATTCTTGAGCCGTTCTTAAACCACGGACTGGCACAATATTTTAGCTTCATCAGGTGTATTATTTTTTGAACGAACCTTTTGATGCCCGGATAAACGACACCCATATATCAAAACCCTTTCAATCAACTAAAGCGGAAACACATCGTTTATAGATAGTTGACTAAAACTGTGTGCTTCCAAACAAGGGTATAAAAAAGACTGTCAAAATGGAAAGGCGGTTTTTATACGATCTCAGGAAAAATAACTCTCTTATTTTGCGCCATTATTAGATTGATACAAGTTTAACATAACAAGACTACAATCACAATTTGACAACCCAATTGATAAAAAAAAGCAAATAAAATCATGTGAAAAAGACGTCGGAGAACTGAGGTTATGGTGTACTCGGAAAAGACGTGCGTACCTCTAGAAAAAGCCTAGCTACTGACACTTTCTTTCCTTTAGTATGCAGCCTATTTTCTTGCAGGCGGTTTTACTGTGATTCGCTCTCTTCTAAGTCTAGAATTTATGTAATACAATCGCTAGAAACATCAGAACTGCAATTAAGCCCATGTTTCGCAATAATTTCTTTTTCTTGTTTTGTTTTTTGTTGTTGTTGTTGTTTTTTTGTTTTTTTTTTTTCTATTCAAGATGTGCCAGAAAAATTTGCATTCTACAGATGAAAACAACCCATGTGCGCAGAAGACCTCCAAATTTAAAGTTAACAAGGATGGTACAACCACTATTATCTACCAGTCATTTACTGACAGCAAGGACTACAAACGGTATGTAACTAAATTTCGATGTTTATTTGGGAAACTCTGTGATTCGGTTTAATCTGATCAGCGGAAAATGCATTGACAATGTAATGAGTCAGTCAACATTTCGAGTGAATTCATTAAATCCTGAATCTGTCAGGTCGATGAAATCTTATTGTGCGATCATTGAAAATACAAAACCTGTGATTCATTTTGTTAAAATGTTCAACTTCAGAGTCATTAAAACCAATCTTTTACTCAACATAATCAATGACTAAAGTTCAGTTAAGTTTTGCTCATGTTACTTTACCCGGTTCTAATGTTACCATGCAGGAAGATCATGAAGTCACTTTCGCGGGTGAGAAAGATATTAAGTAAAGTGGTTTGGCAATTTAAGGGAAAAAACAGCGAGAGCTTTGTGTTTTTTTTCCTCCTCAGCCTCAAACCAGCTCATTTGATTTTTCAAGCCTTCATTTAGTGTCATTTTTTCCTTTTTTTTCAGATCAGTGGAGATCACACTTAAATGTGACGAATCCCAGTATCCAGGAAATACAGGGAGCGGAGTAACAGAACGTTACGAACCAAAAAATTCAGCCTATGTAAGGTTTTGACGAATAACCGTTTTTTGCTCCTTTTTTTTGGCAAGTTATCCAAGTCCAATCAAGATGTTGTTCTGTTTCAAACTTTTTCAAGGCCAGGTTCAAATACCGAATGTTTCATGAGCACAACTTCATTCAAATTAGGAGGACCTCTTTTAATAAAAAGTGCTCCTGCTTAATCGGACGCTGATCTAATAATTCGCTTCTAATACATTTTAGAATAAATGTTAAAATTCCTGAACATGCTATCACTTTAATTTATGCATTAAGATCGGCACGTGAAAAGATGGGCATCCGAAAATCCCCGGCCCAAACATAGGCGACAATACAAGAGTGGATGAGTTGTTCTAACATGAAATATATGAAGCTTTTGATATTTTTAATTCAACACATTAAGTTCAGCTCATGAAACAGATTACTTCTCTTGAGCGCCTCCAAGATGTGGAAAGCCGCATTTTTAGTGTGCTAAGATGGCTAAATATCGCAATTGATAGGGTTCTTGGGCTGCACCCTGCTATTACAGCGTGATTGATGTGTCTTTGACGCTGTACGGTACGTTAGTGTATAATCTGGAACAGTTTGGCAGCTTCGCAGCTTCCAACTTGGAAGATTTCTTTCCGTAACATATACGAGTTGGTTTATTCGATTCAATTTTGTGTTTCTGTTACAATCTGTTTCCTCGTAGACTATGGTTTTTACATCCAGATGCGCATGTGACAATGGCTGTGATAGTCCATCAGAATCAGGAAGTAGCAAACTCAGTATTGGAAGTATTTTATTGATAGTGTGAGTTCAAATAGATTTTAGCTATTGTATTGAGTTATGGATCCGCATATTTCAATACTTTGTACGACCTCATGGATCAGTTTAGGTTTGTGGGAAACTACCCACCTACCCCTCCCCTAAATTAACGTTGGCTTAGGGGAGGGGTAGGTGGGCAGTTTCCCAGAAACCTAAATTGATCCCATAAATCCCAGTTTCAGTAACGTCTGCGGAGCAGCGCCGAGACTCAACGATCCGGAAATGCTTTTCAGATTTGCTTTTATTCTGATTGACAAATCGACATTGAATAGACTAATCATGGCTCGTACTCAAATCCTGGTACACAGCAGGTGGGGACGATCGAAGAGCAAGGATTTCGCAGCTGTTTTGCCTTACCACAGTTAAGTTTCGTCTGTGGCGCACGCTACGAATGCAGCCGCTACTCATCTTTTCAGCAACGTCTTCATCCTCCAGGGAAAAGGAAAGATTAGAAAGGGCAGTATTCCCAGGCTACTATTTTGTTCTACTTGCGTAATGTTTTTACATCTTTTTTTTTTTTTCAGGTTTTTCGCATTGCTTCTTGTTTATTTAATTGCTGGAGTTCTTATTAAAAGATACAAAATGGGAGTAGAAAGTGTGCCGGAGGTGATACCTAATTACGAATTCTGGGCTGGAATTCCATCTCTTGTTAAGGTAAATAGAAGCCGACTTTACCAAGGTATTACTTAAAGTTTAACCCATGGAACACGGAACCAGGAAGTTTTAGCTGTGGAATCCGGATTCCTGGACTTTGGAAACTGGAATACAGCTCACGGAATCCGCAATCCCACTCAAACGATTGGAATCCAGAATCCAGTACTTAAAATCCAGAATCCACGGTATGGAATCCAGAATCCAAGACTGTCTTGATTTTCCGTACATGGGGCGAAATCTAGCCACAAGTTACTTTTGTACTTTGCATTAGTACTGCTCTTCTAAGGATTCGTCCTTACCCCCACTCTTACAGTATCTGAAATATCCTCTCTTTTCAGGATGGAGTTATATTTACATGTCAAGGCGTAAGATCTGGATGTTCTTCATTGTACCAGAGGTCCAGTAAAAGTGGCTATGACAAGATTTAACCTTACGTACACTTACACGATCAGGAAGGGTTATGAAACAGCGATTGCAAGCGACCTTTGACAGAGCATCAGAAGAGAGTTCGATTTTAAATCATGTCACTCATTAATTCTCCATGTTCTAAACGAGCGAAATAACTTGGTGCAATATGCGATCACAAAACTTCTTAGTGTCGTTTGGAGGGACAGCATGACGGTCAACAAACCTGGTTCACTACAAGACAGTAGTGATTTGGTCCAAACTGCAATATTATGTTCTGAAGTGCAACTGATTTTTACTTTTACAGAACTACTAAAAACCTTTAAGTACAGTACAATGACGCATGAGCCAATTAACGTTCGCGCAATAACACGATCGGAAAGCGCTCCCACGCATGCTAAGCGACAAACGTCTTCACTTATTTGGTCAACGGTATTGACATGATTATAAGCTAATCAGAACCGAAGAAATATTTTGAATGGATAACAAAGTGAGATCCATGCAATTTTTTGCCTTCTATATTGCACGTTTAATTTTAGATCACCTCCCAGTATACAGTCACCCTAGGCCTCTGTTAAGCGGTCGACTAGCAAATTCTTGAAGTTCACCACCAGAACGTAATTTTTTTGTGACACTTAAAAGTATTGGGGGAAGCGGAACGGGATGGGATGTGGGATCTCGAACTTTGGGTTGTCTAAAGCTACCAAATATTCCAAATATTTTATGGAATTGATGCCAATTCTGCCAAGGGATTTGGTCGTACTGGTTACCTTGCACTTTGCACTATTAGAGCTGGTTTGTACATTATAGATCGCTTATAACTTTCCCACAGGATGTCTTATCATATGAAGCATAGGACATCTACGTTTTGTGGGGAAAAAAATAAATAAATATACTTTCAGTCATCTATTAAACATTGAAACACTTAACGCCATTTCCTTTCTTCATATTCCGAGCTCCCCACGGCCTTAAAATATTAATCTATTTCAAACGAAACAAAATTATTCAAAACAATGGATGGAAAAATGTGCAGTAATTAGAGAGGCTAAATCGATTAGGAAAGGAAGAATTACGAGATCCTGCCTACCCAACGTGCACGTGCTGGTCTGCTAAATCATGAAGTAGGTCTTGACAACCTTTTTAGGGCTTCCGGTATGATTAGTTTTCTAGGAAGGATGAAACAAATGTATAAATACACGTACATACAGTAATTTCGTTGTCAAAGCCGACCTTATAATCTCTTATGAGATTTTTGTGGTATTTTAAGTTTTAAGACACTTCCGACCGTTTTCAGTCTAATACTTTCTGTAACACAAGGACCTCTCTTCGTGAGTTGACGCACAACTTCGAACAGGAATTTCTTACAAACTATTTTTGCGATAACTCATTCAATATTTTTTTTGGAAGGTCAAAGCGATGGTGGAAAAAGAACTTAAATGGTACGACATTTTCGTGGTTCTCTTTGGAACCATTTTGAGCTTCGCTGACCCCATCACTGATATTCTCACACTGGTCGAATTTACCGCGCAGACCACAAGACATGGTTCGGTGTTGGGCTCACATTTGTTATTTTTCCATGTGTGGCTTTTTCTGTAAATTACTATGCACCGAAAGAATCTGAACTGAAAGGGGTCAGCCGCGCTAGGAGTTACACACATATTTTCCTTTGCGGCTTGAAACCATTTTCCCCAGCCTTGGTGAAACTGCAACCCTGCAAATTTTAAGAAACTTTGGCGTGGCTCATAAGATCAAACCGTCTGATACTGGAACGGCTGTTGATGATACTGGCTAGCAATAACATCGCCGTTCTGTATGAGGCCATACTCGAATCAGCTCCTCAGTTTATTATACAGTTATACGCCATGGTTGCTCAACAGGAATCTGTGGAGACAGTGCAAACTGTCTCTCTGCCGGTGTCTTTTCTTTGCTTAGTTTGGGCGTCTACAGTCGCGGATGATGTCATTCACGGCAAGGAAGAAGATGGCACTGTAAACTATATGGCGCATGAGACAAATAAACTTGTACTTTTTCTGACTCATTTTTTCGTGTTGAGTAGTCGGCTCATTGCCATCGCCCTGTTCACCGTCAGCTTTAAGTGGTGGATTACAACTGTTTTAAGTTTTCATTCTATCGCGATAGTCATCTGTGATGTCAGTTTGTTTTATCCCAAAGGAGAATGTAATGTACCATTTGCAAGTTTGTCGGCTTTCTCTTTCTGCTTCCATTGGTTGCGAGATGACCTGTCAATGAGAATAGACAATGGGTCATCAGCAGAAAAGAAAAAGAGGGAGTTGAGAAAAATGCAGATGTTCTCCAACGCGTTTTTTGTGACAGAACACATCATCATGATCTTGTTGTTTTATTTCAGTCAGTCCCCTCATACTTGGTACGCTCTACCCGTCACGGTCTGCGTCGGTTCTTTTGCTCTTCTTGGAGCCACAATGAGAGTGACTCATTTTTGTTTCTTAACGAAAGAATCAAATACAGTCGAAACTCCCGCGTGCTACCAACCTATACGGCAAGAGTTGGTGGAAGCGTAAGAAAGGTCAGTACTAAATACAAGACTCGGACCACAGCGGCTGTCTACAGGGATAGGTCATCTCTTAGTACCTCACAGGCCTCACATGTCCCACTCGGAGAAAATTTTTGCTTAAAATTTCCCACTTACGATACGAGAAGTGATATGTTGTCAGGAAAATTTCCTGAACTGCGGGGACACAGCGGGCAATATTTTTGGTAGCGATATTTTTAGACAGTAAAGCTGAACGCGTCGGTATTTTTTTGTCAGCGCATCTCAAGCCACAAAAATTTTGAATACCTCTTAATTCTGAATCCTTTCATGATCTTTTAACTGGTTTAGAAATAATTCTGTATTCCATGGTAACGCTAAGTAAGTCAAAATTTGATTACCATGGTGAGTGGTACGATGGAGAGGTCTAGCAGTGTATAGGGACTGTAGTTCAAAACCCTGTAGGACGCCGATGCGATTAGCCGTTAATTTTCTTAATTAATTTCGGAGGGTGATCTCGATTTTAGCAGACCTGTCGTCCTTAAACGTCAAATTTTAGGGGTCCTTTCGGATAAAAGCTGTTAAATCGGGAGAGTAGTATTAAAGCAAAACAAAGAAAAGAATAAAAAATTAACTTCGTAGGTTGGTAGAAAACAAACTTCATTACCACTCTAACACTAAAACGATCTGAAACTCTTTTCGTTTCAGCACACGTCAAGGGCTTTTAAATCCGCTTTTTACTAAAACTCCAGCTTCCAGCTTGTTATCTGGATAGCGGGAAATTCGCCTGTTATTGAAAATGTTTTTTTCGCGAGTCTCCTTTGTTCTATCAGCCAGCCAATAGCCCAAAAGATCAATTGACATTGGCTCGTCTTTGCTGTATATATTTGATTCTCCTATCGGCAGCCCTGTTCTAAGACACTTGGGAATACGTTGTGTGCACGCTTAACCAGCCAAAACCACATGCATTTGTCGTCCACACGAATTTGGATGTTTTTATACGGCACACTTTTTTACACGAACCTGCGGCCTTCTTTCTTCACGAAACGAGGAGTCCGCTCACCGAAACCGCATTGTTTTGAAATCTCTCTCCCCGTCGCGTGTGGACATGGCGTGGTGTTGACATGGCCTAACTCTGTTCGCTAAATCAGTCACATTCTTGAAGTATGTTGTTCTTTCGTTGTTGTTTTCAGTCCGTCTCAATGTCAAGCGAATACCACATTACAGTTTTAATACGTCATCGTTAAAACTCCGTTTTTATCTGGCATACACCAGGTTGACATTAACGGCGTTTTAATAGTTTCCAATTTCACAGAGTGTTTTCTCAAAGAGGTGTTTTCAGTGACCATTTTGATCAGATACGTTTAGAAGGAAAGCCAAGAATCTAGAGAAAAAAAAAATTCATAAATAAAGAAGGATACGATTGGACGGGGCCTCGTGCTCAAAATCTACAACTGTGCTTACAATCAGACAAGATATTTAATGTACAGGTCACGCACAATTCATACGCTTAAAGTTTTGCATTGCGGTATCATCTTCGTCTCTTGCGTGATGGAAAGACAAAAACGGGTTCGTTTCGCAGCCAGAATATTCATCATCGTATGGATAATTTTTGTGTCCGAATTCAAGGGAGTTCCTGCTGAAAAGTGTGACAAGATCGACGATTGCTCATGTAGAAAAAGCAATGGGAAAGTTATAAGTTTAAGAAAAGTTGATGGGGTTAAAGGAGGTCCTGCGTAAGTAACGTTTTGTTTCTCAGTATTAATTGTAGTTGTTGAAGTGTCAATAGATATTTTATAGTTTCGCCGGCTTTATTTAAGAATTTTTGTATGTTCTCTAAAATTAATGTTATCAACGCGATGTTACTTATCTCTAGTGTTATAATCCTATGGCCATAGTTGTGTGACAGCAACTCTCAGAAAAAATCCCATACTGCACTCTTATAGATTATTAGATAATTATTCTCGTTAAAGAAGAATGAATATCACGACTTTGGCCGTTCATAATAAAAAGTAGTTTATTACATTGCTACTCATTGGCTTTACTTGTTTTCACTCTAACTACTTTTTTGATAATAAAGTCGAGTCGAGGCACATCAAGTTTCAAGCGTCTCGTGAGTCCCTCAAATACACTGTGTTCGCATCAGTTTCTATCCAGTGTGGTCAAAAGTCCATTACGGGGATTATTTTGAGAGCTGACAATGATGGCCTTATAAATTCCATCACAAAAATTATTGACTTGCTCCTTGGATTTTTAAGCTTTTTTAAGATAGAAGGCAAGAAAGTTCCACGACTCTTATTCAGCAAGAAGTACAATATTTGAATTTCTTTCTTTATAAATTAGACCTCAAAACTTTTAAATTTTAACTAAAGTCATGATAGTTTCAACTGTCGTGACCGTTTTGCCTCCAGTTCCATTAAATAAATCAAGCACTTTAAATGTTTTAGTCATGATAGTCGATCAAGTATTAATACGGACTTAATTAAGGGAGGCTAACATGGAATAGTAAAGATACTCTAATTTGTTTTGGTAGTGATTCTTGAAACGACTCGTATCACATAAGAGTAAGATGTATACCTTTTTAGCCAGGGTTTCCGCAATCTACAGAATCTACAGTCGTACGCCTCTACTACGGACACCGAAGCGACGGAGCGAAGTGTTTTTATTAGAGAGGTGTACGTATAAAAGACGTCACTGCGATGACGGCACTTTTATGACTCCATTTACGGTTTTAAGGGTTCAGTAGCTAAACCCAGGCTCAAATTTGATAGAAAAATATCATTAACAGCACCAGCCCATCTCCTCATAATATACTATACAGGGATGTTGCCGCCGAAGCCGAGGTATTCCTTTACTAATGGTGGGGATTTTCAAGTTAGAGTCCAGAAAGTATACAACTACAAAGTTCAAGTTTGTAGCCATTTTGGCCCTCCATTGCATTAATATGACAAAATTCTTGCCAAATTTGGTCAACAGTAGCTGCTGGTGATGAATTATATGTATGGTTTTAACCAATCAGAAACGGGGAAATATTTTGAATGAATAATAACAACTGATAAAAGGCAACAACTCAGACAACAACACTCTGGCGACCCTGGGTAAGGGATAAAACTATGGATATAATCCCGTTTTACAGCTCCCAAATTTGCCTAATGAAGTCAAATATTTTAGCCTGTCAATTTCGAATGGAGCGGAACTGATGTGCCAAAGAAATTAAGAATTTTTAGAAATTTCTAAAAAAAAAAATCATTTCATCAAAAACCTCTCTCGAATACGTTCTTGTAGTAATGCGATCTTTTAGTTAACTTTAAATATGTAAAGTAATCTATTTTCCATGGGATATATTAACCAGTATTTCTTTCTTCCTTCAGTTTTAAAAATATACCAACGAATGACTGGGATCAAAAATCTAAAGCAAGTTTCGACTGGAATCCTTGCACAGCATTTAACAAAGGCAGCGGCTGCAACGATGCATTGGTAAGAACGATTTTATCACTCTTTGGCATCTCCTGGTTGCAGTTGTTCGAACGGGTCGATGACGCAAAAAGGCCTTTTAAAACGAGTAACGTCATAAAAATTAAATTTGCGAAATTATGGGAATGGCCGGGATATTCTGAAAATTGAACTGAGTTAAATGTATGAAGCTTAAGTCTCCAATCAAAGCAGAATTGCGCTATACCTTAGACACACTTTTCCCAGAAATGTAAGTTTTTGACAAGTAGGCCTTTCAGATGTTGAAACATTTTAGTCTTTTTATATAAAACGACGCCAGTCATAATCCTGCTGTTTTATCCTAGACAAAAAATATAAACATTAATAACAAAACTGCAAGGAGAAAAGCGACTTGAGGTTTCGCGATATTTCGGACGGACAAGCAGTCCTTCTTCAGAGGATTTAATGAACATTCCGACAAATCCCATAATTTCACTAGTTTAATTTTATGACGTCATCACTTTAGAACTCTATAGGCCAAGGCCAGCTTCCTGTAAAGATGGTTAACTTTAACCCAGGATTAAGCCAACTTTTAAGCAAGGTTTTCTTGTCCTAACCTATTCAGCTGTTCAGATTGTGCGGTCGGTGCAAACAAGAAGTGATTTTTTTTCCCGCTCTCTCACTTCGCACCGCACTCCACTAACTGAACGCCTGGAAAAGGCTAGTTTTGTCTGCGGTGTCTCTTAAAGACCTGTCTGCCTGAGGATTGAAAGTACCAGCTTGGTCTGAGAGGGTTGTAAAACTGAGATATTTGTTCTTTTCAAGGTAAACACCAGTCTAGTTTGCTTTTTTCCTTAGAGGTTAGGTTTTCAGACCCGCAACAGTACTCACCATGATATATCCTGGTAGGCAGGATAACTACATGTAACACCAACTTCCCCAGTCCCTTCCCCAACACCAACCTACCTGGGCTAGAAAAGCACTACTGTGTACCTGGTCAGGGAAATGGCTCCGCAGTGGGGAAAAAGGGCGAAAAAGATCAGTGAAGGATGAAAAACAGCTCCACTCGCTTGCATTTGACAGTCGCTGATTTTTGCGGGGCCTGGTCCCAAGCTACTGTGTTCCAATAGACCTTATTCACGATACCCGCCATCTTTGCAGGCGCCAGTTTAAGGACTGATGGTTTCTCAGGGGACCAAACAAGTAATAAAATCTGCCAATACAAGAAATATCGGTCGAGTTTGTTTATTCTAGACAGAAGGAAATGAATAACTTTTTATCTTGAAGACGCTAATGGCAAGTTATTAGTGAAAGTTTTCATTGTAACTTAATTTGGAAGCGATAGCAACCGTAGGTGTCCGTTCAGCATGCAATGACGACGTAAAACTTGTTTAAACTCAAACTGTACATTTTAAATGACTATTACATCTTTGATAGAATAGACAAATTCCACTGCGATTACTCGTTATGGCAAATTCTGTTCATTGTTTGTCCCCTGAGAAATCACGTGACATTGCAAATATCCCACTCCTGGGTGCGTGCAAAGATGGCGGGTATCATAAGGTCTATTAAAATGAAATACATTTACTCCAAGATGTGTGAAAACCCGAACAGAGAAACCAGTACTGGCCAAGTATTGGCCCAGTCTGCCGCTGCATTCACAGTAAACAAAGACGGATCTACCACTATATCTTACCGTTCATATGCGACAAGGTAAATCATTCTTATTTATCTAAATAACCTGAGGTCAATAAAGTGTAACTTAACAGACCAATTTCCGTGTATAAAAATTCATGCTTGGCTCCAAAGGCTTGAGGGAGTAAAATAAAAGAAATGTATTATTCATTACTGAGCCTCAAGCTGATTTCTTCTGTTTTTCATGCGCTTATTTTGACTAAAACTAAAATGAATGGACATATGCTTTAAGGTTATATACTTGGTACCAAAATATGAAATAGCAGTTGCTATAGCATGTAAATGGGCTACAGTGATATAGATGAATAAAGGTTTCTCTCTCTCTCTAATAACCGACTTGTTTACTTTTATTTATTCAATTTTATTTTGTACAATATTACTATTTTTTTTAATGTTTTAGGGAGGTGCATATAAAACTTAAATGCGATGACAAAAAGTACCCTGGTGATACCGGAGACGGTGTTGCGGTTCTTCCGCAGCCTGAAACAGATTTATATCATTATGTGCGTTTTCTTGTGTTTATAATCATCTAATCGCTTAATAGACCAATATCGATATAATAAAAAATTCATACTTGGCTCCGAAGCTCAGGGGAATAGAACAAAATTAAATGTATTAATCATTGCTGAGCCTCAACGTATTTTATTTTGCTTTATTTTCCCTCTCGAAGCCAGGTATGAATTTTAATATATCGAAGTTAGTCAATTAACGCTCGGCCATTCATACTCCCACAGTAGTACAAGCGCGTGGTAAGAACACCGCCCCCCTGTCCCCCTTGCGTTTTTGATACGGTGCGATATTTTGAAAAATTCCTATCATTACGGATAGTCTGGATGGCCTGTTAGAGTAGTGTAGGAGCTGCTCGTAAGGTCTCTTCTCATTGGTCGCAGGAAACAATGACATGTCATTCTTCCAATTGTTTTAGTATTGTTTGGGGTCAGGGAAAAGCACCATTGGTGACTTCTCTTCCGAGCAGCTGCGACATGACCCGCCTGTTATGTGGTCTAGAATATGATGATGTTAGCATTATGGGATAGATATGCAAAAAGGCGCTGCTGGAGGCCAGTGACGTCATCCAAAATAAGCTTTTGTAGATTTGTCCCTCTTGACACAATGTGTTTTTGGCTTTTTGGCTTCCGGAGTGGGGTGGCATCCACCCAGTTTTACCCCTCCCTTTAGTAAGTAAGAGTGAAACCCACTGTGCAACAACCACCCATTCGACACGACTACCTCGTGATCACGAAGAAATGACCTCTTCCCTGCTCTTAATAATAACCGTCTCAGATTATTCTTAGTTAATAGGGAGGGAATGAAAATGTCCATTGTGCAAAATAAGAAAAAAACGGAATTTTTATTAACTAAACTTTTTATATCAGGAATGCTACAAGTCTTGATTTTATTTTTGATTTTTTAATGGTTTTTCTGGTTTTCGCAGAAAATGACGTTTACCTCTAAGTGCGCATGTGATGATGGCTGTGTTACTCCTCCATCCCCGGTTGATCCAACAAACCCCGCTGATCCAACCGTGAAGCCCAAACATAAAAGACTCAGTAAAGGCAGTATCATATTGATGACGTATGTAATGAAATCTTAAAATGCATCTGTATATGTCGTACAGTGTATATGTTGCTGCGTGGATAGTGCACAAGTTAATTTAATAGTAAAATTTTAGCAACTTTTTGATGAGGCTAAGTATGATAAGCAAAACTATTTTTTATTTTAAACATTTAAAAAGTTCCGATATGTAAAGGGATGTAAACCTTTATATCGTACTGGAGGCAGTGGCCTGACAGCCAGGTGTGTTAGCATTATAGTATAAAAATTGAAACGTAAATTGAGACGCGGTTTTTATGAATGTTTTTATGAACCATTAACCGTTGTTATTTACAATGTTATTTACATTAAGATAATCATCAAAGCTTGTGCCTTGTGATAGTTTTGCAGTTTTCGTCTTGATTTATAATATTTTAAGGATGTTTGATTAATTATATACTCTGGTAGAGAAACTCCTTTTGGACGTCGAGTTTTCAAACGCGCACGTGCCTTAGGTATGATTTGGTAAGTTCTATCTTTTGCTAAAATTAAAACTGCATGAATTAGCACTAAGTTGATTTCAGTGTCCAAACAAAGAAAACCTTTGGTTTGTATTGATGAGTTTTTCCTAGGAGTTGGCCAGAAGAGTTTTAAGAGTTCTCCAAGGTAGTACTGTTTCTACCAGTCTATTGCGTTTTGGGGACGTTTGTTGAGCTGTCCCATATTTGGAGGCTAAACCCCAGGTTATCTGGCAGTGTTTCTCGATCGGATCGTTTAGCTTATTTTATTAAACATAATTCAGTAATTCATTATTGTTTGAGATTAGGTGCTAGATAAACATCTATTGCTCAGTGGTCAATGCAATATTTTTGTTTAGCTACTGACACCGGTTTTTTCCTTGCAAACTCGTAAACAAACTTATGAGTTAATGAATATATCCGAAAAGGTGGGACTAAATAACAATTATTCACCGAAGTGGAGGTGGCTAGTCGTGAATATTTACCGAACTGCGAAGCAGTGAGGTAAATATCCACGACTAGCCACCGACTATGAGGTGAATAATTGTTTTAGTATATACTAAAACAGTGAGATAATTGAGCACAAAAATGATGATTTTTAACTCAAATACTGTTGCCAACGATTACAATTTTGGCGCGTAATGACCGGACGGCCGCGGCCGTCGCTTTTTCTTGCCGACAATTAAAACTTTTGAAGGCATTTGTTTAGCTCTTACGGGGAAATTTCTTCAAAAGGAGTTGTGAATTCTTTTTGTATTTAAAATCATTGTAATAAAAGATTATTAAATTTAGTTTTAAGCTTATTTATGAACAACTCAACTAAATAAAGTAACGCAAGACTTAACTTAATTTGCATTTGTAAACAAAAAACTTTTTCGCCGGTTTTATCGATAAATTCCTGTCAAAAAGACAAAGCTTTACCTGTTAAAACTTCCAATCCGAACTTCGTCACCTTCTTCGTGTATTTCGGAAACAGCTTGCTTGATTAGTTGTGAAATTTCTTTGTTTGTTTACGGCAGCAAACCGAGAAGGTATTTTGCTCGCAACTTACGCGAGTTTGGCGTCGCTCGCTCGGAGGAACTGGAGGTGAATCAGTGAATAGTGCAGGATATTCACTGATTGAGTAGCCAATCAGAGCGCGCGAAAAACACTATCCACTGTTTTAGTATATACTAATTAGTATTATTACGATATTCTCGTACTTTTGGTAGTAGCGATATGGTATAAAGTGATTTTATTCATACAAACATTGTTTGAAAATTTCTGACTCAGCTATTTTATTTTATTTTGACTGGGCATTTTCTGATGTGAATTTTGGACTCAAAGTCATTTTTCTTATTACACCATAACCTTGGGGTAAATATGCTAATAACTCTTGTAGCCAATCGGATTTATAGGCAAACACTTGTAAAAATAAGGAATATTTAATTAGTCTCTTTAAATCATCTGTTGCCTTTTTCTTCACCGAGATTTGGCAGTTTTTCGGCTTATGGAAGGAGTCTTTCCGTCCACGTAAATTTTGCCTTACTTCCCTTTTCAAGAGCCCTTACTAGTATAGAGCTGTCAAGTGTTAGTCTTTATATGTTTAAGTTTTGTATCTCCCGCTTATAATTGTGAATAAAGTTAAACCGAAACGCTCCGGTTTGAAACTGTGTTTTAGTATATGAACTAGAAACTAGGAGTAATCGGAACTTAGAAAAGTGCGTTCGATATATTTGTTAGGCGGACTGGTAGCAGTTGACGGGGAAGGGTAGATGGTTCTTGCGATAGATAACTATGATTATGGCCGCATATTTTGAACGTAAGGTTGCGTACAGCGAAACCTCTATTTAAACTGTGCATCATTGTGAAAAGGTTTTAAAGTAATATCATATGGCTCGTCTCAAGTGCTTGTAATTTGAGGAGACACTGGCCAGAGTGTATCGGGCATGCAAATAGAGCTTTTTGTTTTACCGTAGCCTGCGTAGCAGGCGCTTGGAAGTAGCGGGCGAAAGAGACAACGGGCGCGCGCGAGGGGGGAGCGATTTTCAGGGGCCTTCCGTGCAGGCGCTCCCTCTCCCCTCGCGTGTTTCCTTCTCGCGCGCCCGTTTTTTCTCGTGCCCACTACTTCCAAGCGCCTGCTACGCAGGCTAGTTTTACTGGTGCAATAGTAGCCTGTGTACCGATCACAGGCTAGTGTTACAGATGTTCTACAGGGCGCAGTTGTTTAAAGGCCGATTAGCTTGTAACCCGGGTTTCTTCTTCTTTTGTTGACAGTTTTTCGGATAGTTTTTAGTTCCCTGTTATTTTTAAGAGCATCCAATCATCAGCTTGTTGACAAAATGAATTAAAGTGAATTTACTTTTTAAGCTTTCGCATCTGACTTCAAATTTCGTACTTACCTTGGGTTATATTAACCCAGCTTTGAACAACCCGGCCCAGGTATTGTTAAAAAGCAAACAGTTGACAACGTGTTAGATCAAGAGAGGATAAAGCTCAGAGAACGAATCCCCCATATAGGTCCCATACATATCGTAATCCCTCTAAAGTTATTTTTGGAACGTACCGGTTTTCCTGCGTAATATTATATTTTCTCGCGCGTTTCGTAGAAGTTTCGAGGAGGGGCGAAAGTACAAATCACGTCAGGAATGCGGGAGTTGCGATAGATGCGAAACAAGAGAGGATAAAGAGGGTTTTTCCTCCCTTAATGTGAAATGAGAATAGTTTTTGAGATTTTCGTAAATATATATTTGAACATGTATCAATCGGCATTCGCATAGAGAAACAGAAAATCGTCACAAGATTCACAAAAAAAATTGAGTTTGAAATAAAGTGTTGACAGGCTAAACCATGACGACTCATACGCTCGTGATAGTGTGAAACGTGACCGCCTTGCAGTATGCATTGAAACAACATCGGTTGTCCTTTTTTTCTAGCACCTAGGACCTAGGTTATGCAGTGCGTCACCAACTCCCTCAATGGGACAAAGCAGACTGTGGAGGTGAAAAAGAGAGCGAATAAAATCCTCGGCGTACTCCAACGGAACCCTTATCGTCTTATAGCGCTGTTGCAAAGGAACGGGCGTATTTGTCCCTGGTCCGCCCTGTGTGCGAGTACGGCTCCTTCGCCTGGAGTCCATATATCCAAAAGGACATTATCTGTGTTGAATCTGTTCAGCGTCGCGCGGCGCGCTTTGTTTGTAACGATTACTGTCGTTCCAGTAGCGTTAATACAATGTTATCGAACTTGGGTTGGCAAGATCTTGAGACACGTAGGAATCGAAGATCAACGATTTGACAATGTTTTTTAAGATAACGACAGGAAATGTGCGGATATCTTTCTCAAACGAGCCACGCGAGGTGCACTGTCCCTACTTGACCCGAGGTAGTTTACAGCAACCATTCCAGTTCCAGCGTCACAAGACTCATCTACAATTAACGCACACAAGTATTCTTTTTTCGTAAGAACTGTTCCCGCTTGGAACGCTTTGTCTCCTGTTTCCGTACGTGCTGATTCCGTTGCTGTGTTCCATTCAAGTATTTGTAATAATTTTACAGTACTTTCTTGTAGCATCGAACTCGGCCAAAAGCGCGATGCAAACGGATTTTTCAACGTTCTCTTACTTTCCTCGCATCTTTTGATTTCGCGACATCCTGTCCAAAAATCGAAGTTTGGTGCAAATGTTAAAATTCCTAAACATGCTATCACTTTAATTTATGCATTGAAATCGGCACGTGAAAAGCTGGGCATCCGAAAATTCCCCGCCAAAACATAGGCGACAATACAAGGGTGGATGAGTTGTTCTAATTAGATATTTTTAATTCAGCACAGACATATACGAGTTTGTTTATTTGATTCAATTTGTTTCGGTTACAATCTGTTTCCTCGTAGACTATGGTTTTTACATCCAGATGCGCATGTGACAATGCCGGTAACAGCTCATCAGAATCAGGAAGTAGCGTACTCATTAATAGAGGGTCTCAATGGGGTTAACCGATAGGCGTAAAACGGCCAAAATTTAGCCGATAACCGCAAAAATTGAAAAAATTTAACCGTTAGCCGTAAAAGGGTAAAAAAGAGTTGACCGTAAAAGAAAGTGTTCCCTAGATTTGCTCCCTTTAAGGAAGGTACTAAAGTCACTTATGGTTGCGTTTTTTTATTTCCCGGCTGGTGTGACTCCGTACGCCCTTTAGGCGAAGCGCCTTAACCAAGACCTAGGCTCCATCCGGCGCTCTCTCGCGCTCGGGGCACTAATTCTTTCCATAGCGAAAGTGTGGCTTCTTTCCGGAGGTCGTGCCCTCGAAACACTAGTAAAACATCACACAGAGATGTCACTGTAAAACACGTTGCCGATAAACAACATTTCCCTGTTTTTCTCTGACGCTACGGCGGTAGACATAGCCATGCCTAGTCCCTGTACGGCGTCTTCCCACGCAGTCTCGGTCAA